CCTGGAAAGACCTAGTATGAGTTATATTTCTATAATACAAATAATTTTGATGAGTTTTAAATATATGGCCCAATTAGCATTTATAATACAAGAGCTTATCCATTCAAAGGAATTAGAGACAATTTCCTAGAGGAACTAATGTTAAAACAAAAGCTGGAGAATAAATAGATATCAGGCAGGGCACTGAAACAACAATAGTCACATGATCCAACATCATATTTATTGAAGCTATCAAAGGTCTACTTTACAAAAGGCAATTCCTTCAAATACCACAGTTGACATATGTCCGTGTTATACATCCTACTGGGCCATCGGACCAGAGTAAGCCTGCAGGGTGCACCTCAGAGGACCAACACAAAGGTGTTTCTGTTTTGGTTTTTAATTATGATTCTATTATGCTCAGGGATATTTGGGTTTTTATAAACCCTAAAGTCTTGCATTAGCAGATAAACATTTCTAGGCAGCTTACATACTCCTTTTCAGGAGCACCTCCAAAGCATTGTGCCCACCTGGCCACCCTCAGGCCACACATCTAATCAGGAGCCTGAAAATGTCAAAACAACTGCTTCTATCTTTCTACCTTTTTCATTACAATCCTTGTGACACAGCTGCCTAATTATAAAATTTACTCTACCAGTAAAATACAACTCCCTGTTCTTCCCTGTTCTCAGATCAATATTACTGAGATTTGTTGGTTTTCCCGCATTTTGCCTCAGGCTTCAATATGGCTCAACACAGCATCATTACTGAACTTTTGATATTTTTCTCATTATGGAGTTCTTTTGTATAAATTTTGATTTTGAAAAATACTGCATGAACATATTAGTTATCCTGAGGCAAGTGTCTTAGTATCTTCACCTAATCCCAGCCCTGAAGAAGTCCTGTTACACCATAAAGGAATCAACCTGTGTTGGAGCAAAGTGGAAAATCTGTGTTTACACTGCCCCAGAGGCTCCCAGACATTGGGATCATAGAAACTGGAGAAGGGAGAGAGAGATTTCATTCCCTTAAGAACTTTTAAAAACAGGACACCCAGCACATTTGCATTAACAAATTTGAATATTAGATACTGTCACTTCTGAAACTCATAATTTGTCTATAAACTGAAGGTATCTAAGACATTTATACAGAAAAAAAAACTATTTTAAAAGTTATTTAAATTTTATATCAGTTCTTTGATCAGATCACAATTAATAAAAGGCACTTAAAACAGGAAAATGAGATATTGCAAACCAGAGAATTATTTCATGTGGGCTTCTTGATAACTACACCTGTTCTAATCCTTGAATCTTTTAAACACTTTTGCCACATAGAAATGGCTCGTGTGTATTTTAAGCTCTCTCTCTTTATTGTGATTCTCTAGAATTTCTGCTTGATTTTTCAAAGACTTGCTTTGACATTTCCTGAGGGTAGCCACAAATGGGCTATTTTCCATAGGCCCCCACTTAATAGGAAAAGAGCTCAAGATGTGGAATCCAGGCAGGCTGGTGTCTAACGGTTGTTCATTTGAATTTGGAAAAAGCATTTAGTTTTCCATGTCCTCACCTCCTAAATGAAGGCTTTAGAATAAAAGGTCATTGACATACTTTGCAGTTTTTACATCCTATGATCAAGTATTTCTGTTCTACCAACACATTTTAGGCAATAGGAAAGGATTAACCTAAGTTGGCCTATTTAGTACTCTTTTATCATCTCATTTTTTGGTAATACTAGATTTTATTTTAAGTATCTAAAACTAAAGCTGGATACTTGGGAAAAAAAACTTGGGGACTTCCAATCATAGCAAGAGTTTTGATTTCATTCACTAGGTCCCCACCATGTCTCAGATGACCTTTTCTACGCTCTCTTATGTTTTGTGCTTAAAATTTCTTTCTTTTATCACAGTTCCTAAGATTTCGCTATCTCAGAATGCTTTCCTTTCACTTGCAAAAGATTCACAAGTATGCAAAAGCATACTGCTGCTCATATTTAATAACAAATATATATTTTCCCTTCTCTCCCACTCTTTATCTTTCCCCATTCTCTTTTCTTTTTTATTCCTTCGACTCACTTTTCTCATTTTTTTCTTTCCTTGTTTTCCCTTATGATAGTTGATACTCTCCTAAGTGCTCAGAACAAATAAGTAAGCAAGCACTAATAATATTACAAGTTGCATTCTATTCAACAAACTATACATACTAAGCTCAGTGAATATGAAATAACACAATCCAGGAAAGGATATTCCATAACTGAAATGGGTTAGTGATTGTAAATAGTACACAGTGACTGACTGAAAATAAATTTAGTAGGGAAAGAGCAGTCAGCTTGGGCGAAAATGAGGACACTCATTATCATCTCAGCTTTTTGTGTAATAATAGATTTTATTTTGAAGTATCTACAACTAAAATTGTTTACTTGGAAAATAACTTGGGGACTTCCAACCACAGTAGAAAGTAATGCCCAGTGTGGAACTGGGAAGTGTTAAGAGATGAATAGATGAAAACTGCCCAACATACTTTTTGCCCTCTTTTGAACAGTGGGACACCTATTAATTCTCCTAACTGTTGCCCCCTCTGAAGTCTTTTCTAAGTACATCCATGTTGATTGTTCATGCCCTGCTGCAATTTCTCAGTTATATTCCTATACTGTTACACACTTGCAATGTTTACTGTGCTAAAAGGTACTTATTTATGTGCATATCTATTGTCCTGCTTCCCACTAAATAGCAGTCTCCTTAAAGACATTGCTGGATATCATTCAACTCTGAAATCAGCATCTAACACATATCAGTACCATTTCAAATTGTATGTCCATTACTTACTATGCATGTGGACATATACAATTTTTTTTTGGTCATCTTTCTGAGCCACAATGCCCTCATTTGGAAAATTAAGAAAATACTATCCCAGTATGATAATGAAATAGCTAGATTTGAGCTTTCCCTGAGCACTAGGGAACTAATCAAAATTTTATTTTTGAAAGGCTAACATTTCAGAGGGTGTAAAACTGGATTCTGTGAGAAAGAAAGGTCTTGAAAGGTTGATGAAGAAGCAAAAAAAAAAAAAAAAACTAATTTTGAGATCTAGAGGGACAAGAGCATGGTAAATTCTTTGGTATCTGAGACCTTTGTCACTGGTATGGCAGGCCTCACATGGGAACTAGGAACCACAGAGCTCAGGCAGCTTTATCTACTAGAGCACATAATTGCAGCAGTGTTCCACAAGATCTTCCCAGAACTGTGCAGATCCTCATCCAAGAACTACCCAAGATGAAGAGCCAAAATATAACTGATATCTGGAATGGTGAATAGGATACATTTGATTTCATTTTTCCCTCAGGAAAAAATATGACAGATCTTGTCTGTCCAGCATTTTAAAGCAATTCCCATGTCTTACATAATCTGGTGATTTGTGGGTTCACAGAGTCATTGGTTGTTTGGGTGAAGCAAATGTGTGGTACTTTTTCAGAAGAGCAGCCTGTTCTAGCTAGAAAAAGAACTAATTTCTAGTGTGAGCTGCAGAAGTATACACGAATCTCACTAGAAGGCAATTTGGGGAGGATTTTAGATATCAGTTCACATATCGGAAATTACTTACAAAGATTTTTAAAGCACATTCTCTAGAAGTTAGGCCACTCAGAGGTCTTAAACTCATTATTCAGCTGCTTAAATTATTTAGACATCCCACCACCCTACATGTTTCCCCACACATTTAAAAAATACTTCTCTGTTTCCCACATTTTAATTTATCTTCCAAATATACCATGTGCCTCATATTCATGACCATTTTCCCCCTGTGTGTGTCATAACTTTCTTCTCATATATAATAATGGTACCATTTGATCATCATTTTGACTACAAATACAAAAACAAACAAACAAAAAACTTATGAATGGGTAAAGGTATTAAGAAAATCAATATAAAAATTTCCAAAATCCAGTCTTAAATTTGTCACCGCAACTTCTTCAATATAATTAATACTCTGAAAAGGGGACTGGGGTTGTGGCTCAGCGATAAAGCGCCCACCTAGTGCATGTGAGGCACTGGGTTCGATCCTCAGCACCACATAAAAATAAATAAATAAAATAAAAGTATTGTATCCACCAAAACTAAAAAAAAAAAAAACTATGAAAAGATAATTTGTAGATTTCTAATGGCTTTTTTATAGCTTATAGAGAATTTTTTTATAATTATTTATTTACTTTCTTCCTCATACTTAATGAATATCAGTTGAAACTATAGTTTTAAAAAAGCATTTGCAATAATTTGATCTTCAACACTCATATCTAATTCAAAAGATTGATTTATTTAATAGTTTTCATATTTAAATAATTAATTTTGACTCATGGGCTATCTAAAATAGTATTCAACATGATAAGAGAAGTGATCAATAAGTTGCAAGTGTAATTATATTGATAAATAATAAGAAATAAACATCTTGCTCTTAAACTATGAAATCAAATCTATTTATACTATACATTAATAAAATATAATTTTCAATATTTTAAATTTATTAAGTATATCTTTTCAAAAATGCATTTTTCAGAATAATCCTCTTGCCTTGTGCTCTTTTTAATTAGATTGATAGATGCTACATAATATTTCTTAATCATATGTATTAATTTGATCTTCAACCAGTTCTTCAGAAACACATTATGGCATAAAATAAGATAGACCTATCCATGCCAAATCTCATATTAAACTTTGGAAAATTTTTAAGCCATATCTGCATTGTAAAATGAGAATATTTAGAAGTCTTGTGTATCAGTTACTTAATTCACCATTTCCTTTTTCTTTTATCAAATCCATCACTAAAGTGTGATAAGCAAACACCACCAATAATGAACTAATAAAAGCACTGAAATATGATCTATTTCTAACTTACTGAGCAAAATTACATTAAAAGTTAATAATATTGAAACATTTAATAAGTTGAAATACATAGTTTTATGACTTCAAAACCCTGAAAAAGAGTAATTTTATACTTTATAGTTGTAATTAAATAATTCAGAGAAGAAATTACCTTTAACATTGGCTCAGGAACATAATAAGAGTCAGTCTCTCCAATTGCTTTTTATGTACTGTGAACATTATCTTCCTGCTTTACTCCTACTTCTCTACTTTTTCTACTTGTAAGGGAGGCCAAGCTATATAAACCACAATTTAGTTCCTCTTTTTGCATTTCATTCATTTCTCATATTCCAGACTCTAAGTTTAAAGAGAATGAGCAATACTCGACAGATCATGATTTGAACAATTCAAGATTACAAAGACCAATCTAATTCCTTTCTTTTTTTTTTCTTCTATAAACTATTTTTTTAATCTTATCAACAAAATCAATATACAGACACAGGTTAGAACTGATTAATTCAAACATTGAGTAGCAAGCACAAACTTAAATGTTTAATAAGAGAACAATATTGCCACTGTCAAGTAAAAGCTCCCAGGAAAAAGTCATTATAATCTGGCTTCAGTTTCCCTGGATTTTACAAATACCTTCTAGAGATGTTGGTAAGTGAAACCAAGTGAGAAACACGGGGTTCCCCACAGCCCAAAGGTCTTGCAGGACAAGTGGGTTAGTTACCTTCCCATGAAAGAAAAGAAGGAGAAGGAAGAGAGGGGGGAGGAGGAGGAGAAGGAAAGAAGGGGGAGGAGAAAGAAGGAAAGAAAGAAAGAAGGAAGATGTATTTGTGTCAATGTGTGGGTATAATGATCATTACCAATATTGAACAGTTTTATCCATACTCAATCATCCTGTATTTCTAGTTCACTTGAAGTTTGTAGTGGCCATGGGACTAGTTCTGGTCAATGAAGTGGGGGTTTGAAACATTGCTAGCACTTGGCTGTACAGCCCTCCTTTCCAGGTGCCTTGATGATCACTGAAGCAGGTGTCCAAATGCAGATATCATCAGCCCAGGGCCCAAATGATTCTGGTGAATACACCCACCCACTCACCCAATAATCCATTGAGCCATGTTGGACTTGTAGCATCAATGAAAAAATTAAATATTTTATTAGGACTGCTGAGATCTGGAGGCTATGTGCCACAACCTAGCCAATTCTGACTCACTGGAAAGATGGGATTATAAGTACTTTTATTTTTTAAAGTAACATTCCATTTAAAACCTGTTATGGTTTGGATGTGAGGTAGCCCCCAAAAGTTCACGTGTGAGACAATGCAAGAAGGTTAAGAAGAGAAATAATTGGATTGTGAGAGTCTTAAAACAATCAGTGAATTAATCCCCTGATTGGGATTAACTAAAGTAGTAACTGAAGTAGTAGGATGTGGCTGGAGGTGGTGGGAATTGGGGGCATGACTTTGGAGTATATATTTGTGTCTGGCAACTGGAGACCTCTCTCTCTGCTTTCTGATCATCATGTGAGCTGCTTTTCCTCTGCCACACTCTTCTGCCATGATGCTCAGCCTCACCTGGAGTCCCAAAGAATGGAACCAGCCTTCTATGGACTAAGACCTCTGAAACTATGACCCCTCAAATAAACTTTTCCTCCTCTAAAGTTGTTCTGGTTGGGTCTTTTAGTCACAGTAGCGAAAAAGCTGGCTAAAACAATACGGATATATAGGAGATATATATATATATATATATATATATATATATATATATATATATATATATATATATATATATATAAAGGATAACAATATTCTCTGCTCTCCCCTGGGTAGCACATGAGTGTCTTCCTTCCACAGTGGATATGCATATAGCAGTGTGATAGAACAGAAAGAGAACAAGCCTAGGAGCTTTAGATACTTGTCCAAATAGTGCAAGGAGCTAGCAGCAGAATGTGGACCTCTCACTAACTTACTCATATCATAGTAAACAAGTCATTTAAGCACTCCAATCTTACCTTTCTTGTTTGTAAATGGGGGCAATAATAGTTTCTCTGTCTAAATAAGAAACTTGAATATCAAAGGAGTTTTTATGTGTTGCCATTGCTAGAGGATAGAAATATATTCTATTCTTCACTAAAAATCCCAATCACCTCGTAAAGTATCCGATTACAAAAGGCTCTAAATAAATTTGTGAATTCACAGATAGATTCCTTGGCTCTGCAGTTTGACTGTCGCCTTGGTGTCATAGGGCCTGTAATGGCTGCAGTTAGAAAACCTGGCTTGAAACACATATACAATCTCTCTCTCTCTCTCTCTCTCTCTCTCTCTCTCTCTCTCTCTCTCTCTCTCACACACACACACACACACACACACACACACACACACACACATTCAATTGCATCTCTAAAATCTCCACAGCTACTTAGGTGATCCTTTGCCAATGAAAGCTGAATCATGTTCCTTCTCTGCTTAAAAGCTTTTAATGGTCTTTAATTTACTCAGAATAAAATTCATTGCCCACATCATGGTCAACAAGGGACTTAGTTTCTCCCCTACTTCTTTGACCTCATTCCTAATGTTCTCCTTCCTGCTCACATTGCCTCCATCTAAAGGCTTTCATATTATTCTTTAAGCATAAGAACATTCCCATCTAGATACCTAGTGAGAAAGAACCTCATGATGTAGAAGTGGGAGGAAAGGAGGGCTTTGCTTTAACAGATACACAAAACAGAGTCTTTGTAAAAGAAAGAGAAGGAGGAGGAGGAGGAGAAGAAAGGATGAGGGAATAAGGGGTAGAGGAGGGAAAGAAGAAATTTTTATTTGCTAAAGGTTCACTGTTTTCAAAAAGTGCTCCTTCAGTGGGTCAACAGGAAAGACTGACTAGATAAAGAAATCAAGACAGACTAGATAAAGGAAAAAAAAACATGGAAGCAACATACGTGACAAAAACAATGTGTGGAGCTGTTCCTAGAGACATCAGAAGCGTTATTAAGAACAGACAGAAGGAGGCAATGTAGGCTTCTGAAGGACAACAGACACATCAGTCTCATCCAAGAGAAACTCCTAAATCAATCAAGTCTTCCATAGACATAACTAACAGTGAAAAATACCCTATGAGGCATCATAGGATTGCTGTGACATACCATTTTGCACAATATTCAATAATTATTGGTTTCTCTTGTTGCAACAAAATTTCCCTTTGTTACACGTGATTAGCAAGATTAGCAGTGCCTGGGTTTACAAATCACAAACTCATTTTCCTAAGTTTCAATTGAATTTGACCTAGTAGAAAGGCAACCCCCTTGAAATACTGTTGTATTCAATGCCAAAACAACCAAATAGGGACCACCATCCCAAAGATAAATCATTGTCCCAAAGGACAAGTCAAAGCCATAAATCCTGTTGAAACCCAGAACTTACAAAAAAAAAAAAAAAAAAAAAAAGAAGAAGAAGAAGAAAGGAGGATGAAACTGTCACAGGGACCTTGACAGCATCACAAATGTGAGTATGGAAAGCAAAAGAATTTCACAATCCCCCTACCCCAGTTTTTGTAGATGAATAAACTAAAATACAGTTTTATAACATCTTTCAGTTATTCAAAAGAAATCTGGAAAAATGATTGACTTTCTTAGCTATCATTCGTTATAAAGTTGCCATATTCATATGCTTATTTTTCTTCTGTTCTGTGTCCATTGTATTTACACAAAGTATTGCTGGTTACAACTTTATTCTTCTACCTATTACTTTAAAAACTTTCAGTGATGTAGAGTTCAAAGACAAATTATAGCATGGCAAATTCAACTATAATTGAGCTCTACATTTCTTTTATTCATGAAGAGACATGTTGTGGCAAACATCTGCAAACCATAACCTCAGAGGAAAACCCCTTTGAGAAAGACTGAGAAAGGTGTTTGCTATCCCTTTCACCCAAGATCATCACTCCCAGTAACCAAAGAACTCATGTAATCTCTAAACTAGAGATTATTTAAGTCTTCATTCTTATGTAAAAGTAAATATACAAAAATGAGTATGAAAATAATTATGAATTTCTGTGCAATGTGACAAATATTGGCATTACTGGACCATTATGGCCTGGAGTGGTGTCACATTAGCTCTGACAGCACTTCAGGGAAGATGTTATGATTCCCTACTTTCAAATCCAGAAAAAGAAGCTTACAGAATTCAAACATTTTACCCAAAATCACAGTTAGTAACCAACTGAGAAGAAGGCCAATCAAGATCTTTCCCTTTTGACATCTGCACAGAACACATGTTAAATTAAAGTAGCACTCATAGCTGGTACTACTGTGCATCAAAGGTTAAAAGATGTGCTTGAGCTACATCAGACAGCAAGCTTCTGGAAGCTTCTCCCACTTGCAATAATTACTACCTCCATCTTGGTCCCTTTCCTTCTGTTTCCTTTGATTTTTACCTCACTGCTAACTTTTTTTGTTGTTTTTAAATATCTGTAGAGGAAACAGAACAAGAAATGTTCACTACAGAATTAGAAATTTCTTTTTGAAAATGTTAATATAAAGTGAAGACCTTGGCTAATAGATTGTAAGGATTAGAACCTACACTATGAATTTAGAAATGACACACATCTAACTTCATTTTTATTATTTTTGACTTGTTCATCCAATAAACACATTTGAGAAAAGAAAATGTTAGCCAAAATGTCCATATTAGGTTACATGCTAACCTTTTCATTCTTTCAGTACAACCATTTCTCTTGTCTTTTCTATTTTCATTGTAATTTCTATTTGGAAATTTGGTAAAATTTGGGGTGGTAATAGAATAATTCATCTAAAGTATAGAAACAGAACAAATTAAGCCAACACCCTGAAAATAAAACTTTCTTCAGGAAATAAGTCTATTTCCATAAAGTAAAATCCATAGTGAAGTTTAGTCTCTCTCTTTTATTTTCTTAACTATGAGGACATGGGCATTGGTATTCTTCACTTCTCTATTCTTAATGTAGTTCCTCTTTATTCTAGTTGTGTAATAATAAAACTAATAGCAGTCTTAGTTCTTGTTAGAAAGTCCCTGGTGGGGACATACATTGGAATTAAACTGCTGACTTGGTCTCATATGACTGCATTGAAATTCCTAGAATTTAGGTGTCTAGAAATTTTGTATCAAATATATTACATGGTCACAAGAAAGAAGCAGACTTAGAATCAAGTTAAGTGTGGCTTGATGAAATTCCCACAGCTGAACATCTGATTATAACAGCTAAGGCTGTTATACCTTCTCTGCATTAGTG